TTTAAAAAAAACAACCTTTACTGAAGAGTTTATAATAAAGATAACACAAACTGAAATCAGAAAGAGAAGTGTGTAAAAGAAATAAAATAGAAAAAGAATATTTTAAAGATTTAAATATTCCTGATTGAATAAATGAACTATTCCCGATCTTCCTTGTAAGTACAGGCAGATTTAAAATTTCCCCACCCCCTGTAAGATTATGTATATCATTCACTTCTCTTACATTTTGCTTCTGAGTTAGTGGTGGAAGAAAAGTGCTATTTCAGAATCCAGTTGTCTTTTTGTGTTCAGAGAGATCTTCCTATTGATTTGTGCCTTTGTGAAGCGATAAACATTTTAAGGGACTAATAGCTTCAGCCAAGCCCTAAGCAGTGATTCAGCTAAGCTCTTTATGAGAGAAAATGGTGTGGTAAAGCTAAAATTATTCTTTCCTACATAAGTGTAAACACTTTCTATATTCAGTCTCCAGAATGGGGAATACAATTGCTATTAGTAGGGAATTAATAGGGAAGGTCATTCAGGGTCATTTCCCCTCTAATTAGCAGAGATTGGTATTGTTCATATAGGAAGACCTAATGCAAATGCTACATTCAATTGGACTCTACCAAGAGTGAACATTATGCAGTACCTCATCACCTAGAAATGAAAAGACTGTTACATGTATTATAATAAAAATAATATAGTATTTTAATAGCAGAATTACAGAATAGAATAACAATGTTATTGGAAGGGACCATGGAGGTCTTCTAGTCCAACTCCCTGCTCAGGAGTTTTCTATACCATTTTAGGCAAATGGTTGTCCAACCTCTTCTTAAAAACTTCCAGTGTTGGAGCATTCACAACTTCTGGAGGCAAGCTGTTCCACTGATTAATTGTTCTAATTGTCAGAAGATTTCTCCTTAGTTCTAGGTTGCTTCTCTCCTTGATTAGTTTTTATCCACTGCTTCTTTGTCCTGCCTTCAGGTGCTTTGGAGAATAGTGTTTCTAGGTTCTTTGTTTTTGAAAGAAGGGGAAAGCAAACAAGTTTTCTGTTTGTCAACTTATATGAGAGTAATGATTAGTGTCATAGTACCTACTTAGGTACTAGCATAATATGGATATTGGGAGCAGACCTAGGGTAGGGTAATCTATGCATACCCTTTTTGATTTAAAATTTGCTCATGAAAGGAAGCAGTATCAATTTTGTATTTTTTACTTCACAAATTTTAGGATCCCAAATCAATGGTGGGACATATTTTATGCTCTATTACCACAGATTCAGTTCTTGATATCCATTGTTACAACTGGAAAAAACCTGAAGATTTAATGTCATTGACCATGTACTGTTTGTATCATTTATCAAATAGCTTAGAAGCCCAGAAGAATTCTTGTATCTAAAGATGACACTAGATATTGATGTGTTGCAACAAAGTTTTAAATTAAAACAATCATTTAAATATGAAGGCAAGTGGGAAGAATGTCACTGCGATACTAAGGACTACCATATTTCCTGTCCTGCTGTGGATAGTTCCGATGAATCAATGAATTCTACCTTAAGCCTCACTTAATCCTGCTTGCTGGTTTCTCTCAGCATTGCTTACTCAGACTGAGGCAATAATGCACTTGCCATCATCCCACTTCAAGATCAAAATGTACCAACTATGTGTTAACCTTCGTGAATATTTTTGTGCCTTCAAGTCAGTTTTGACTCCTGGTAACTGCACGGAGAGGTCCCTGTAATTTTCTTGTCAAACTCTTTTCAGAAGTGGCATGCCGCTGCCTTCTTCTTAGGTGAGAGAAAGTGGCTGGCTGAAAGTTATCCAGCTGGCTTTGTGCCTAAAGCAGGACTAGAACTTGTATCTCCCTAATTTCTGGCCCCCTGCCTTCAACCATTACAGCTTTTTGTGCATAAATGGGAGTTGCAGCGGTAAAGGCATCATAAAGTTTCTGAAAGCCACAATTGTAAAAATTTGAGAAGCAAATATAAAGTAGACTTTTTAGGCTCTGACCCAAATCTATTTAAAATATTTTCCTATGAGATCTAAAGAGAAGAAAGATTCAAAAACAAGATTTTTATGATATCTCTATTTTGCAGAGTGAAGCTGTAGCTACAGATCCATGTGTACAAATGGGAAAATAACAAGGTTCCAGAATGGAAGGCAGAATTGTTCTAATTTCTTTAATTTTACTACTAGGTGATGACATCAATAACTATGTACTTTGAAACTAGTTGCAACACACTGTTGTATCATCCATTTGATTTCTGAAATGGCTTCACAATGTCCATCAATTAGATCTTTTTTAATCATAAAACTGCAGATGCTAATGTGAGGAAATTTAAATACTACTACTTCATTGTAAAATGTCAAGGTTGGAAACACCAGAATATTAGAAAAGGTGACTCATGACTAAACTACAGCTATATATATTAACTACATACTGCCTAGCTGTTTTTTTTAATTTTATGACAAAAGATGCACATGAGGACTTTATCCTGAATTTCTCATGCCATTTTAAATATTTTAGCTATCATAAGCATTAAAAAAAGAGACAGATATATATATATATAGTACTATACAGATGAACACTATAAAGAAGCCTGATGATGGCAGATGAGATTCTGCTGAAACGTTGCTACAACTTTAAAAGAACAACTACAATGACGTGGGAAAATACCCGAACCAAGCCGAATACCACGCGAAAACTTAAGAAAACAAATTATATATATATATAATTTGCTTTCTTAAGTTCTTATACATATATATGTATATGTATATGTATGGCATTCAGCTTTGTTCGGGTATTTTCCCACGTCATTGTAGTTGTGCTTTTAAAGTTGTAGCAACGTTTCGGCAGAATCTCATCTGCCATCATCAGGCTTCTGTATAGTGTTCATCTGTATAGTGTTCATATATATATGATACACAAACATACCAGTATAAAATAATTGTATGAAGCTAATGAGTAAATTTAAAGTCCCTTCCCGAACTTGGTATTTTTGATCTGTTGCTTGAATGATTATAATAGAATAGTGTTTCTCAACCCCTGTGAATTTAAGATGTATGGATTTTCAATCCTATTCCTACAATTCTTTCTCCAGATAGACATAAGCTGGCTGGTATGATAACCCAGGGCAAGGCACAGAAGCAACACAGCCAGAGAACAGTTCTAACTCCCCTTTATTGCTCCAACTTTCCCTCAAACATCCCCATCGGGTGAAATTCAACCACCTCAGCCCACCTCGGGAGAAGTGGTAAGGACGATTTGAATCGGTAAAAAATTACCCCAATTGCTCCTGGTTGCTTTTACTAGTATACAAAGCCACACCCACAGCCATGCCCACAGAACTGGTAGGAGAAAAATTTGAATTTCACCCCTGGTCTCCATGTTTACTGCATGTCCTGGAGCAAAGCTCTCACACATACCTCCGACTGCCTCTGGTTGCGAGTAGTCCAGCAAGCAAAGTTAACAAGGCAGCCACCAAGGCAAGAAGTCTGGTTGTTCCTCTGGAGCCAAAGAGACCATGTCCTTTTTCTCCGTCAGCCCCAGCTTTGGCTCGTCCTGCTCCGCGGACTCAGGCTCCGATGGGACCATGACAGCTGGAAAATCCTGGAGCTGAAGATCAGGCTGAGGTTGAGAAATCCAGTACTAGAGAGATCTACAGTTATACAATTGTGCCATTATTTATGCTTTCTTTTTTAGGCTTTAGCTTAGCATTTACTTTGCATCTGCAGCCTGGTCCAGAAAATTCTGGATGTAAACCATTCGTAAAAATATTTGTCTGTGTGCTATTTTATTTATTTAAATTTATTATAGCTGCCCGAATCCAATGGAGTCTGGCTGGTGAATATGTGTTGCACTGGGATGTGTATTTTAATAAGCAAGCTTTCCTCCATGGCAGCCATTTTGTTTATGAGCCATGGTGTGCTAGGAAAAGTCTGATTTTAGCTACCAGCCCTAAACATCAGCGAGCCCTATTTATCTCGTATCAAAGAGCTCTGAACATTTGTCCTGAGTGTTACATTCTGGGTACACATGCAGAAGCAGCAGTTTTATTGGTTTGGTTCAATTTACATAATACATAAACACAAAGTAAAACCAGTCTTATTTTATCTCTATATATATCTATTCATTCAAGTTGAACTCCATATGATTCTCAGAGACTAACTACAATAGGGGTAACATAAAAAAAAATCAGCACAAGTACAAAAGTAACTAGAAAGTAATCATATGACTGCAAACAACAGAGCAAACATAGTCAGGTTCTTAAGGTGGCTTGGAACATCATTAGGGTGGGAGCCTTATATATTTTGGAGGCACCTCATTCTAGAGAGCAGGTACTGGGACAGAAAGGAGGAGGTTCCCGTGTCCCAAAATATGACAGTTTAAGATGATTTGGAGCATAATCACTTTACTGGATGGACAGAAATCCCAGAAATAGTTGGACCTATGCCATCTAGGGATTTATAGGTAATAATTAGCACCTTGAATTGCACCAGAAAGCACAGTGCCAATGACTGAAGTTCATGAAGCAGAGGTGTCCTGCAGCATGCCAAGAAAGCTCATCATGCTTGTGCCATGACATTCTGAACCAATTGAAGCTTCCTAATAGCTTTCAAGGGCATCTCCACATAGAGCACATTTCAGTAGTCCAGCCATGAGATGTGAGCAACTGTCTGAACAACCAACTGGTCCTGGAAAGGGTACAACTGGCACATCAAGTGGAGCTCTGCAAAGGTTTTCTTAGTTATGGCTGCCATCTGCTCGTACGGCTACTATAGCAATGCTATTTAAGTAGAGCATCATGATTGAGGTTTTTCTGTGTTTTGCATATCTGTGTGGCCATTTTCTCTCTGTTAAACTGACATAATATTAGTTAATACTGAAATGGCAGTACTTGAGAGCAGATATTCTACAGCATATGAATACACATATAGTAATACAGTATTATTATGTAAATTAATTTCTGCCTAGTTTTTGCTTTAGGCAACTAATATGGACATTTTTCTGCTTCTTACTAACTTACTTTACATAACTTATTATAGTTCTCAATTAAAGCTTTCAGACTGCCTAGCAAGAAATGTGTGATTCTCCAGATTAACATATAAAGTCCAATTATGCATGCAGCTGGAGGACTTGCTAAAGGCATTGTCCCTGTAAAACAGGTGAATGAAAATTTATTTTCTTTGCTTCACATGACCAGGTGTGACAACAAAAGGATGAGACTGACCCTCTGTTTTTCACTGCATACACTCAAAGGCTTTTGGGAACTGGAATATCTCTACAGGAAGAAAAGGGCCACATTTCAGAAAAACATAATTAAAAGATTAACATTTCACAATACCTATTGTACAAATATGATTTGTGAGGTTTAAGGATTTTGCTCGCTGTCAGAACTGCAGTAGCTTGTAGGGGTTATTAACATGTGCTATCGGTTTTTTATTCTACTTAAGATTTAATTACACTTAAGTGGAGACTTATATTTTGTTTAAAGGCAACTTTATTCACCCTTCATGTCCTGGGAATTATCCCTTTGGTCATAGTAATTGATGGGGCAGAAAGAAGCCTCACTTAAAGAATGAATTAAGCCATGAAAATGAAAAGAATGACATATATAGGGATCACTTTTCAGATTAAAAGGGACGTGTGTGTGTGTGTGTGTGTGTGTGTGTGTGTGTACAAATTTCGTTTAGATCATGCTTGCATTGTACCAGCAAATCTATTACAGGCTGTCTTGTTGACTGTATTGAATGAGATAGCACTCCTGTTCATTGTGTTTGTAATTAAAGCATGCCACAGCTATCAATAGTCATTTAAGAAATATCTTCATGAAAGAAGCAACTGCATGGCAGTGTTTATTATTTTACTGCTGGTTCCTGCTCTGACTTTACAACACTATGTACACAGATGTGGAAACAAGACTGACAAGCGTTGGTAACAGAAATGAAAGAAGGGTGCGGCTTTCAATTAAAAGGTTTCATTTTGAAATGTTTTGGGTTTGGGTTAAGGAGAATCTTCGTGTTGCAGCATATTTTCTGATATCTTAGGTCAAAGAGAAGTTTTTGAGCTTATTTTTTAAAGCCTCGGGAAAATTGCTGCTGGAAAATCAAAGTTTAAATGTGCATGCTTATAAAATAGGAATGTGTTGGTGTCTGTATGCGTGCAAAATGTGTAATAGATTTAGACACTGCATTGAGGCTTCTTGGATCTCTGATACTCAGATGCCTTTGAAATCAATGGCACTGAGAGCATCATCAAAAGACATGGGAACAACACTTAGTCCCAGTTCTCTATGTATAAAAACATGTAAATCAGAAGCAGGGAAATATCAGTAGATGAAAGGGCAGAATACTGAGTGTTCCTCTCAAGTATATTTTTTCCTCTAATTTGATTCTCAGATATTTTTATGAGAAAGAGATAGGAAAATAGAGTATTTAAAAATGACAGAAAAAAGTATTTTGAGAATAAAGTGGATGAGAAGGATTTCCATTTAACAATCACCTTTTGAATATTCACATTCATAACACAAGTGGAAAAAGCCTGTAATCTATAATTCTAGTCTTATCTGTTCAAAATCACACAAGTTTTGGGTTACTTATTAGCTCTCAGATGTTGAGAACTTTTATGTATTAAGTTCTGAGGCCCACATTTTGGAATTCAAATTCAAAAATGCTTTGATACTTAAATCACATTTAAGCATTTTGGAATTCAAATGCTTTGATTATACTTAAATCAGAAGCTCAAAGTGAGAATGTAAACAAATTGCCATGTGAAACTATTGAAAAAGAAATGCTGTTGATTAGATTTCACTAGACAATTTTTTAAATTAGAGATACTGTGAGTTAAATTATTTCATTCAATTTTATTTTTAATCTATAACATTCACTACATCTGTTAAACTAATGTAAAAATGAATACCTATATTTGTGAGCAAATGTTTTCTTTTACTTTTTCTTTGAAGTATGGCCATGTAATCCTCTTACAATATTCTAATTGATCTGGATTTTAAAAATTATTCACTACCTAAAAAAATAATAACTACAAGGAAAGTTCAGTGTGATTTATAGTCTTTTGTTGGCTCAGGTCAATATCCAAATCGAATACAATTTTCTAAGACTATTAAAAAAATACACTAAAACACAAAATTAAAAAACCAAATTTCTGAAATAAGCGAGATGATTGTGGGATTATTAAAAGGCATGATAGTCAAAATTGTAAAATGTCCTCCATTTCATTTGGCATCTATTATGAACACACTGGAGACAGAGGCAAAGAATGGCACTGGATAATATGAACTGACCTCAGAAGGAACAGTTGGAGGACTGCACCAAGCCATATGAGTGCATGGAAAAGGATGATAATTTTTCTTTGGGTGGGGCTTCCACTGAAAGTAAGTCTCTCCAGAGTAATAGTTGGTGAATAGTAGTTTTATCTATTGGTTAAGGTAGGGGTCTTCAAACTTGACAGCTTTAAGACTTATGGACTTCAACTCCCAGAATTACTCCTCCAGTCATGTTAGTTCAGGAATTCTGGGAGTTGAAGTCCACAAATCTTACACTTGACGACCCTTGGGTTAAGACATAAGGCTAGAAAGCAGGAGAAAGTGAGTTTAATTCTGCTCTTGGCCATGAAAGCCAGCTGAGTGACTTTGGACCCGTTATTCTCTCCCAGCCCAATTCAACTCACAGAGTTGTGGGGAAAAGAAGAGCAGTAAGGTGTTGGACATATTCAGCACTTTGAGTAATTTGAAAGAATAATTAAGGTAGGATATAAACAAACAAACAAATTATGCTTTCCCTTTGTAGGAGACATTTAAATACTTTAATCAAAAGAAGCAGTGAAGCATAATCTTTGAAAGAGCATTATTTGTCTTGAACAAGGTTGTTCTAGAAAAGTTGTATGCAACTTCCAACTGGATTGGATGAACCAATTCAAAGTCATGGTGTAGTGTCCCCTCTGCACCTAATCAGTTGCAGATTTTTGTGTGATTTTAAAAAAGAGGTAAAATAAGTGGCATGAAAAACACAACAAAAGAATTCCATATGGGAGATCACGGGCAAATTCTCTTGGCCATAAAATTCCATAAATATGGCAGGGATCTTTCTTGTTTAGAATTGGGCTGAAACCATCATTTCCTCAGTGCGCTCCAATAAATGTTTGCAGACTTTTAAACCATTAAGGTGGTTATGGAATCATTAAGGCTGAAAGTCCTTTATTAATTCTCTATCAGGAACTATTTTATGGATACAGATTGCATTTACTTTTATATGTTCAGACGACCAAAGTACTTAAGCTTCCATTCTAGCTCAAGATTCTTTATTACTTGAAATACTTTATTGTCTAAGGTTTTCAAATGGAGCTGTAAATTTCAAAAATAATGCATTTTTGCTCTTATCACATTAAACCTGCTGATTGCTGCCAGCCTGCTTTTGAGAAACAAAAAGAACTACTGACTGTAAATTATTACTTCCATATGATAAAGCTGTCAATAACCCTTAGTTGCAGATGGATGTAACAGGATCTCTATGTTCTCACCACAAAACAAGCAGCAAGATCAGAATTTCTTTTTCCAAAGGATGGCAAACTGACCTGCAGTAACTTGACAGAATCACTAGGTGTCGTTGTATACTTATTCTCATCATTTTTCCTTCCAATTCAGGTTTTTTAAGAACATTTTTCTTTCTTTCTTTCTTTCTTTCTTTCTTTCTTTCTTTCTTTCTTT